GGGGCGCGAGGGAGTAAAGGGCACGGCCGTGGGCCCCAGCCAAGGGGGGCGGCAGGGGAGGTGACTGCGGGTGGGATGGGGCGGGGGGTGTGAAGGGGCCTGGGCTGCAGGGTCAGAGGAGGGGGAGGACGGGTACGTTTTGCTCCAGGGTCTGGCAGGGCTTGGCTCTGTGAGGAGATCGTTGGGGAGAAGATCCAGGCTTTGTGGGACGCAGGAAGGCCTTGGATGGTGTGTGCCCCCTGGAAAGAGGGTTGGCATCCCCATAGGGTGTGGATAGCTCGTGTCATTGCCATGGAACTTGATGTCCACTGCTTGGGCTCTCACCATCTTCCTGTGGCGGGGGCTAAGTACTCCTCCATTGCTCTGCACAGCAAGCTGTCCTCTTTGGCTTTGGTGCCACATACAGGGTGTGCCATACAATTCACACTTGAGTCATCCCAGTAGCCGTAAAATGCTCTTTAGCTCTTGTCGTGAAGGGTGCTCTCGTGCCCTCCAATCTCATTTCAGCCTACTCAATTATTGTGTGTGTCGTAGCTGGAGTAACTCTTGATCTCTCCTCATTTTTGCTCACCAGGGTAGGTGCACACCATCGTAAAAAGAACAGGTCTTATGAGTAGCGGCTGAGGGAACTGAAGTTGTTTAGCCTGGAAAAAAGGAGGCTATGGGGGCACCTTATAACTCTCTACAACTACCTGAAAGGAGGTTGTAGAGAGGTGGGTGTTGGTCTCTTCTCCCAGTAACAAGCAATAGGACAAGAGGAAATGGCCTCAAGTTACTCCAGGGGAGGTTCAGATTGGGTAATAGGAAAAATTTCTTCATCGTAAGGGTTATCAAACATTGGAACAGGCTGCCCAGGGAAGTGGCGGAATCACTGTCCCTGGAGGTATTTAAAAGACAGGTAGACATGGTGCTTAGGGACATGGTTTAGTGGTGGTTTTGGCAGTGTTAGGTTGATGGTGGGACTCAATGATCTTCAAGGTCCCTTCCAACTGCGATGATAATAAGATTCTATGAAAAAGCTCTAAAAACCTGTCTCCAGTTTTACAAGTAGGAAGCAATTTGCTAACACAGATTTTTCCAAATGCTGATGGCTGCCTGACAAAAAACTTTTCAACAATAAAATGGGTAGAAGCAATACTCCTATATGGTAGGTCAGAAGATTTCAGACTGTGCGTAGCATCTTCTTATTAGGTTGCCTTGCTTTTTTTGTGCAACTTTTCTTGTCAGCAAATAGCGTTCCAAAACCAATAGCCCTGTTTAAAATATGATATTTAGGAATGCTTGTATATCTTGCACGGCATATGGAGGGAGGATCCTTCAGGATTTCCTGGGGGAAAGTTTATAGGGTTGAAAAAGGAAGTTTGTGCATATCCATTTAATCCTTCTATACTAATTTTCTCCATTGTCTCCTAAATTTAATTTATTGTGTTTTCTGATAAAAGAGAGCGTTCTCAAAATATTGGCTTGTTGAATCTGATTGCTATGTTGTGGTAATGTGAAATGTTGCCAAGATAAGTATTTATGCAACTTACTGGTTAAATTTGTTGTTGATCTGTTTTATTTTTCCTGTTTAGGTGAAATTTGATAGTGGAGTATTACTGCTTAGCACACACAGACTAATCTGGAGGGATCAGAAGAATCATGTAAGTCCCACTTTTGTCTCTTTTATGTCATTCAACTGCAAATGCCATATTAAACAACAGGTAGCAATGAAAAGACTGCACACAGAGAGATTTTTCTTTTCTTTGTGTGTGGGTTTTTTTACAAGTATAGTCCATTTTTTGGCTCACAGTGGAAAGGAAATTATGTACAGGAATGTTCTTTCATCCAATTCTGCTTTAATAAAATAACCATGAAGAGATTAGGAGGGATGGGAATGAATCATAATTTTTCCTTTTCTATGTTACAACATAGAGAAGAGTCTGATATCATGCACTAAAAAACATGGGTTTTGAGACAGAAGTTGAATGTGTCAGGTAAATCATAAAGTGAACTTCTCTCCCATGCTTCTTGTCTAGCGAGACCTTTCTTCCTCATTGTTTTCAAGTCCAAGTTTCCTTGTCTTCTGCTCCCACCGTATAGTCCCAGACCATGATTTGATAATAGGATGTGTTTGGTGGCAGTATTAATTTGTGCAGGTTTTAGTTTCCCAGTTACCTGTTTTTGTGTTGAACCTTCCCGTCAATAAGCCAGAACATTTGTCTGTACTGCTATGGAGAGTTCACTCAGAAGTTAAGTGGCAGTGGCAGAACTACACTGTAATACTGCTGCAAAGTGCTTTGTATCATCAAGCCACAGCCTGAGATTGCAGGCTAGAAATGGGTAAGAAAGACTACAAACACGTAGAAAGCTCTAAGTGTAGACTGTGACAACGTGCACCACTTTGCAGCTGCAGTTGAAGGAGAAGTCCTCCTCGAAACCAGGTTGGATTATGCTGTTCTGGACACAATCTTTTAGAAATTTAGCCCTGGAAGCCAAAGTTTAGACAGAGCATGTTCAGATGACAACTTTTCAAAGGCATATTATAATCCACTGGACTAGTTTTGCACAAGGATAGCTGAAGCACCTCTCACACCCAAAGGCCATTCCCTACCAAGTATCACATCCTTGCTCCAAAGCAGGGAGCTATTAAGAGCATTCTAAAGGTGAGGTCACCAAGGATGTTCTTTGTTTGGCAAAGCAATATATTTTTTCCTTAGGGATTGTTTGCAGGAACAGTACAAAATTTTCAAAATGTTTTGAGAGCTGCTGCCTAGGGCAGGGTTAGTGTTAAACAACTCAGGGGTTGATTGGCCAGATCATGAGCTATTCTGTATAAATTAACTTTTTTTTTTGCACAGTCAGTGTGAAATAATTTATCTGTGCTAAACTGTCTGTGTAAATCACTTCTTATTTCTTCATCAGATCTTTTCCTGACAGGTGGGCATGTACTGCTTCTAATCTTCTCACTTGGACTTCTTACTTGCTTGGAGTAACATTGCGCATTGTGGCTTCAGCAACTCTAGCTGTCCATATCCCCATTCTCTCCTTCCCAACAAAAGGATGATGTTTTTTTCTTCTCCCCCACTTCTCCCCCTGCTCCTAGGACACATGGTTCCTTGTACTCTTTCAAGATCATTGAATTTGCTAAATCAGCAGAAAAGAAACTTGGACAATAAGAAAATAGTTTTCTTTTAACAAATTAATGTAACTCAGCAAAGATTCTGACAAGTTCCAGGCTTGATTAAGAGAAGGGGCAGAAACATGGCCAGGAGATAAGCAAAAATTACCCAGTTCTGATCTAATACAGACCAGTTCTGCTTCAACGGAGCCAGGTTTGGTTTTTTTATTTTAAATCTATGGTACACAAATAACTTTGTTAGAGTTGTAAATGAAGCTGATTCTTTCTCAAGCTCTTAGGATGAAAGCATGGGGAGCACAATGCCCTTTTATTTTCATGGTGAGTTGTTAGCCGAGCTCAGCCTTAGAAACCTTATCTAGCTTACCTAGGATAGACTTACAGACAGTCACCTTTTACAGTGTCAGCAAACTAGTAATAAAAGAGGCACTTGTTAGGTTAACATAGCAAACCTTTTTACAAAAACAGACAGCTGTGTTTTATAGCTGCTGTTGTTACATACCATCTCAGTTGAGCAGTGTAGAAAATACAGTTATTTCCAGAGGAAAAAATGTGTAATTCTGTTAAGTTTGTTACATAGCTAGATTTGTATGTTATTTTAAATTATAAAATGTGAACATGGGACATTAGAAAAAATAACCAAATAAACCTTGATTTCATATACCCACAGCATTTTTAGCGTATCTCTCTCTTTGTATCACTTCCTCTTGCTTCTCTCACCAGAAAGGGCTGATTTGGAGTCCTTGGGCTTACAAGATCATAACTTTTTAGCTGTGAACTAAAGGAATGAATCATTTGACAGTGTACATACTATATGTAGTTGGGCTCTTTTGTAATTTTCAAAAACTTTTTTTTTAAAACAGAATCATTGTTTTGCCTGTATTTTAAGTGTTCAGGCCTATGTTGGTGTTTTACAAACAGTAACAGTTCTGTACACCAGCTGTAATATCTGGGGCCATAGAAGGCTCTAAATACCTTGTGTTAAGAATTTTTAGAACAGGAAGTACAACCCATGTTTTTTCCCAATGAGAAATTTACTCGTTAGTCAGAGTTCCTGCATGTATATTTCCCTAATCTTTGATTTAGTGAGTATTTAGTCATTTCATGCAAAGGGGAACAATTTTGGTAGTAGAGATTGAGAGGGCTCCATAACAGTGTTCACTGTAACCTGGTGTTAGGTACACCCTCATGGCAGATGGAAGAGAGAGGTTCAAAGAAGGTCTGTAACCCATGTTTCCTGTATTCTGGGTGACTGTGTCAATCACCAAGCTATTGTGTGGAAGAGGACGTTCACCAAAGGACAGTCACCAAAACAGGACCAGGCACCTAATTAGATGCTGTGTATTGTTCCCTTGAGCAATTTCTGTCTCAAATGCATATAGAAAGAGTTTAGTCTGGGTAGGTTAGTCTCCCACAGATGGATACAGTTTTGTTTCTCGTTCTGCTTTATTTTGTCTAAAGCACAGTCTAATAGATGTGTGTTGAGATGCATCAACTGCTGGATTAAATCTGTGGGGGTGGGATAGATGGAGAAATTCCTATTTGGTGTTTCACCACGCAAAGGATAGTCTAGTTTTTCAGATGTTCCACGCTAAAAGACTGGTGCTTTTGGATATTGTTTTAGCTCCCAAAGTAACATCAATGCAAAAATTTTAAGAACCTATGAGCATTGTGCACCTGTGGGGTTAAGCTGTAGTAGTGTGGAAATGTTAGTGTTAAAATTTTCAACTTAGATACTAAAGATTTGTTAAGTTACGAAGTCCTTTTATGAATCTAGCTTGAGTTGTCTAAAGTCAACAGATAGACATTTAAATTTGTTTTTTGATTACCTAGGATACAGTTTTAAGTTTGTATTGTTTTCTATGTATATTTCTCTTTAATAGATTGTTTTCATTGTTACCATCATATTTCATACGGAGTGCTTCAGGCAGCACCTGTAGAAATCCAGACTGTGAAATGGGGAAAGAGAACACTTGGTTTTAGAAAATGGTCAGGATATGGCTTTCATTTCACTTGTGTTTGTGTTGATTATTCCAGGAGTGCTGCATTGCTATACCTCTGTCTCAGGTCGTCTTTATTGAAGAGCAAGCAGCTGGGATAGGAAAAAGGTAAGGTGATAGTCACTTTGTTTTTCAGATGGATAGTTTGCACATGCATGTTATGTGAGGTACCAAAGATTATGTATTAATTCCTGCTGGGTTCCATATACAATCCAGTTTTCCAGATTGACAACCACAAGGACCTGTTTTCCTCACTTGAGATCAAATGTGTGAGAAAGTCATGACAAAGCAGTACTTGTTGTGATTTGTAAAATAATTGTGTTGTAATCCCAAACAAGTATGTGTTCTAGCTTGCCATTTTCATTTGCTTAGTCATAAATGACAACAGTGATTTTGCTGGATCTAAATTTGAAAGCTAATTTTAGTCTTTGTGCCACAGAACTGGTTGGGGATAGAAACTCTGCCAGATCCCATATTATATTACTTTTCATGGCCATATGATCGATTTCAAGGATGGAAATGCTGGGGATGCTTAGAAGGAACTCAAATGTTTCCACTCACTTGAATAACTAATTCAGTATGTTACGTGTATAAAGAAGTTTCACAAGAAAAAGAGAAAAAAATATTAACTGGAGAAATATATATGTAGTTGACATCTGCTTGCAGCCTACAATCAGATGGGTATGGTAATGTGCTGGGGGTATCCAGAAGAAATCAGGTAGTTCACTAATGCTGGAGAAGTCAAGTAAATAAAGACCCGGGGAAAAAAGTATCAGTAAAATGAAGTGCGAATGGTGGGCTTTCAGTCATGCTGTGATAGCAGTCTGTTATGTTCCTAAAATAATGCTATCTCAGTTTGTTTTTGTGCTAGGTGTCATTTTAGACTGTTATTTCCATGCATGTTACTTTTGAATGTTGGTTTTGGATAAATTCACATACAGCGTTTGCAAGTGACATATACAAACTGGATAGATTAAACATAATATTGAGACCTTTTGTTTTCCTGTGACAAAGATAGTGTATTTTGGCAGTAGGCAGGTTTGGCTGCTTTGGCAGCAAGTCAAAAGCCAAATCAAATGACTACTTGATGATTAGTTTTTACCTTAACTAAAAGATTTTTCAGAAATTACTGCTTGAAATATTAAAATTTGTTATGTTTATTTCTTAATAATTGATGGTGGATGCATTTTAAATTAGTGAGATGTAATCGTTTTAGAGGTTATAGTAGTTTTTATGCAAGATCTACAATAATATTGAGTCAGATTACTTAAATTTTGATGCACAAATGTAAAGCGTTATTTGATGTACTTTAGCTCTTATGTGAGATAAAGTTAATGGAGGTTTTGATTAAATAGCTAACTTTGATTGTAGAAATAATTTTTTGGTAGATATTACAGAAAGCTGCCTCTTCTCTTTCCTTTTCTTAGTGCTAAAATAGTAGTTCATCTTCATCCTGCTTCTTCAAACAAAGAGCCTGGTCCATTCCAAAGCAGCAAATATTCATACATCAAACTTTCTTTCAAAGAACATGGGCAGATTGAGGTAAGTTTTGTACCATGCAAGCCCAGCACATCAGATTTTTGGACATACTTTTCTCCTCTTGCTGTGTAAGTGATAATTTTCGAAGATCTTTCCATGTTTACTTTTGAGGTGGAGCTTTTTCAATACATCCTTTTTGAAGACAGCCACTATGAGCCTTCAGGGTTCTATACTTTGGTTAAATAATGCAAATAGAGTTAAAAAAATGTCAAGAGGCATTACTAGGCTTCGTCCTTATTTTAGTAGTTTTAATGTAATCTTATACTTCATTTTTTAATCTTTTAAAATGAACACAGGATTTTCCAAAAATAAATCTTTGAAATTTATTAAATGTTTAACAGAGTCAAAGATGTTTCATTGTAGTTAACGCTGTACTGAATGGGAATCGAGCAACTTCTTCCTAATCATCTCTCTAATTTTATTGCTGAACACTTTTTGTTGCCTCAGAGCTTTGTTTCATTTTATGTTTTATAAATCTATTTTTTTTACCTACCCCAAATCTCAAAGGCTTGGAGCATTCTAAAAAAAAGGTAATATATTTTTAAAAGAAGGCTTATCCTAAAAAAAGAAATTGAACTCTGTGAAGAATTTCACAGTATAAGATCCTCGCTTGAAGAAACTGAAAACTCTAACTTTGAACAATGAAAAAAGCTGTACCTGTTAACTGCAGAAAATCAGATTTTCAACTTGAATTAGTTGTAAACATCTTATAAATGCATGTGCTTGATCAGACTCACTTTCATTTCTTTGTGAGAAGTTTTCAGCTTAGGACAAGCGTACATTTATGCCTGGTTATAATTGTATAGCTGTTTTGCCTCATCGTAGCCTTACTTGTTTTAATGTTAATATTCACGTCCTAAAATCAAACTTATTATGCTTGCTGGTTACCTAGTGTATCAATTACACTCCAGATCTTTTCTTCATGACTTCAGAATGCTTTCCTGTGAATTCTGAACAACCATAAGAATGGAATAGTTTTTCTTTCTGGATTTTGGTCAGTGGGATACTTTTACTGTTAACTAATTAACTAATGCCACCTTCTGGTATTAGCAATAAACAAATAAGTGTAATTGATCTGTGTGGTTGTCTTTATATTGTTGAATTAACAAAGCGATAGTAATTGTATTGTTCAACTTTCCTTCCTTTTAAAAGCATGCTGTTGAGCAAACCTCAACATTTTTAACTTTAGCATGTTTTGGAACATTTTGAATATGTGAAAACAGTATTTTCCAATAGAAGTACTTGTGCAAGTTTAGCTAGTAACTACATGGCTCCTCCTCTAATGTGTGTATTTTTGAAGATTGGACATTAAGAATTTCCAGATAATGAATGTTATACTGTGGATGTGTCGGCGTTACCATGCTTTGTCTTACAGTGAAGTTTATTTCATCTACCACCAAGATGCTAAAAATACCAGAGGTACTCTGCAGAGTTGATGAAATATCTGTTGTCACTCTTCAATGTTTGCAGTTCTATAGACGATTATCAGAAGAAATAACACAAAGGAGATGGGAGAGCATGCCTACTGGCCAGACCATCCAAGTTAACAAGGATCAACAGGTATGTGTAGAGCTGAGCAGAATCTGTATGTAATCTCTTGTTTCCACTTCTTGCTGCCCCCATATCCTGCATCTGGCATGCCTCTAACCAACACAGTGGGCACATGTGGGAATTCAGCTTTACTTTGCCTATTTCTTCACTGGCATAAATTAGTTTCTCTTTTGCAGACAACTTGATATAGAACACTATGGCCTCTCTTCCTTGAGTGTGTTTAGACTTGAATAGTTGATAGTGAGCTCCTTTTTTTAAACACACATGTATGGAGATATTATATATATTTGCATATAATTTTATTCAAAATGAGAAATCTAACGAATCTGAAAGATTTTTTTATCTTAATTTCATTTCTTTTATGTTTTGTGGCTGGAAGTCCAATATGTACTTTTATATAACTCTTTGGAACATGTATCTTTTACATGACTTTGGAACCTGTATATGTTTGATTTAAATGTGTATTCTAAATGGACAGTTGTTATGGAGAATCTTTGTCATATGTTAGATTGCCTTCTTTATATGTCTGCATGATTTTAGGTTATAAATGCTGATAAACATGCAGATGTTGTTTCTGTATATGAATATGCTGAATCATAGAAACAGAGAATGGTTTGGTTTGGAAGGAACCTTAAAGATCATCTAGTTCCAACCCCCCTGCCATGGGCAGGGACGCCTTCCACTAGACCG